TGGCATGGTAGTTAAGGCACTGGGCTCCCACCAGGAGGCTTGCTTTCTCACTCTCCCTCTCTCTTTCTCTGGTCAAATTTAAAAAATAATAATAATAATCAATAAAATTAAATAAAAATAAAATTCTTAAAAAAATGAAGAATCTCATTTTGCATTTAGAAAGGTCTAGGGTGAAACTCCCCCTGTCTCGGTTTTCATCTTCTACTTCCCAATAACCAGTAGGCTCTTTCAAAGCCCTTTCTGAGACGGCACAGAAATATGGACATTTCCTTCGTGTGCGACACGGACTCTCACATACCTGGGATCCTATTGAGCGTCACCCAGAAGTGTTCGTCGGGGCTGAAGGTGTCTTTGGACCACCGAAGCAAATCGACAGCCCGCGGGTCGCGCAGAAGGAAGGCGGCAAAGGGTCTGGACAGAGCCACGTACGCAGAGCCGAAGTAGATGGTGAGGTTATGGGGAGGGGGTGGCTTCAGCACGGCTGTCCTTATCACATAGGACAGCTCTTTCCCCAGATGTTCGCGGTGGACATACTTAGTCCGCCCAACCGCATGGGCTGGAGGCAGCACCCCGGGGGTGATATTTTTCCCTTTAAAGCCTTTCAGATACTGGACTATTTCCTTGTTGGTTTTCAGGGGGAAGTCTTGGCCACAGGTGTTGAGGACGTACTTCCAGGGCACCTTGGAGGCCGAAAGATCCTTGATGCAGTTTAAGTCAGCCTGGAGCCTGGAGATGCCACCATAGACAACGGGCTCCATCTTGGAAGCCAGAAAAGCATTTGGGATGCAGCTCAGTAACTGCTCCACGGCGGCTTTAAACTCGGCCTGCGCCTTTTCGTCCACGTGGACACAGTAGATGTTCTGGGGCATGTAAATAGCCCGGAAGAGCCTTGCAAAGGTATCGAAATTATGATGGATGACCATCGTATAGGCCAAAGGAAATTCGGCTTCTTCTTTAGATAAGGGGGCTGTGATATAGTGGCTCTGGGTCAAGTATTCCTGGCAGGAAGACTTCTCGTGGATCATGAGTTTGCTTCGCCACAGGAAAGGTGTTTTCCCGTTCATAAAAGACGTGCATATTTGACTCAGCATCACCGTGTCCGAGCTATTTAGCCTCTGGAAGTTCTGATCTCCCCCAAAATTGAACACATAGAACACGATAAACAGGATGACAGCAGAGACCGACACTATGAAGAGGCCACGCAGGAGTGAAGTCATGCCTCTAAGGGGAGGGAAACATCACAGACCGACCCAATCGCCAAGTCCTTTCCCAAACTTACTTTTTTCTCCGAGTTCTTTTTGGGGGCACATACTCCAGGTATGTCTACCCCGAAGGAGACTCTGGGAGTTGATTCCGTGTCATTCGGTGAGGCCAGCTGCCCGCTAGCTCCCCACGCTGGTATTAGAAACTGATCCCGCCTCTCCCCAGCCTCCTTTGTCTAAATCCCAGTGGCAGGTTGCTTACGCCCCGGCTGTGTCCCCTCCCCTCGGCCTCCCTGTTTGCATCTGCTGGTCCTTTTGCTATAACTCTGCAAACTCGTTTTTTCTCCCGCCTCTGCTGATTCAGTTTCTCAGCTCTCCTGTCGCTCAGTTCCTGTGTCCCCTCCCCCGTCTTGTTATTACCAAGCGGGAATCAGCAGAGCGAAAGCCCAGGGTGAAGGGATGCGCTCTGGCAGGCGAGGGACCCACAGCCCTGGCAAGGCACGCCCAGCGTGATCCGCGGGAGGTAAAAAAAATAATAATAATAATCAATAAAATTAAATAAAAATAAAATTCTTAAAAAAATGAAGAATCTCATTTTGCATTTAGAAAGGTCTAGGGTGAAACTCCCCCTGTCTCGGTTTTCATCTTCTACTTCCCAATAACCAGTAGGCTCTTTCAAAGCCCTTTCTGAGACGGCACAGAAATATGGACATTTCCTTCGTGTGCGACACGGACTCTCACATACCTGGGATCCTATTGAGCGTCACCCAGAAGTGTTCGTCGGGGCTGAAGGTGTCTTTGGACCACCGAAGCAAATCGACAGCCCGCGGGTCGCGCAGAAGGAAGGCGGCAAAGGGTCTGGACAGAGCCACGTACGCAGAGCCGAAGTAGATGGTGAGGTTATGGGGAGGGGGTGGCTTCAGCACGGCTGTCCTTATCACATAGGACAGCTCTTTCCCCAGATGTTCGCGGTGGACATACTTAGTCCGCCCAACCGCATGGGCTGGAGGCAGCACCCCGGGGGTGATATTTTTCCCTTTAAAGCCTTTCAGATACTGGACTATTTCCTTGTTGGTTTTCAGGGGGAAGTCTTGGCCACAGGTGTTGAGGACGTACTTCCAGGGCACCTTGGAGGCCGAAAGATCCTTGATGCAGTTTAAGTCAGCCTGGAGCCTGGAGATGCCACCATAGACAACGGGCTCCATCTTGGAAGCCAGAAAAGCATTTGGGATGCAGCTCAGTAACTGCTCCACGGCGGCTTTAAACTCGGCCTGCGCCTTTTCGTCCACGTGGACACAGTAGATGTTCTGGGGCATGTAAATAGCCCGGAAGAGCCTTGCAAAGGTATCGAAATTATGATGGATGACCATCGTATAGGCCAAAGGAAATTCGGCTTCTTCTTTAGATAAGGGGGCTGTGATATAGTGGCTCTGGGTCAAGTATTCCTGGCAGGAAGACTTCTCGTGGATCATGAGTTTGCTTCGCCACAGGAAAGGTGTTTTCCCGTTCATAAAAGACGTGCATATTTGACTCAGCATCACCGTGTCCGAGCTATTTAGCCTCTGGAAGTTCTGATCTCCCCCAAAATTGAACACATAGAACACGATAAACAGGATGACAGCAGAGACCGACACTATGAAGAGGCCACGCAGGAGTGAAGTCATGCCTCTAAGGGGAGGGAAACATCACAGACCGACCCAATCGCCAAGTCCTTTCCCAAACTTACTTTTTTCTCCGAGTTCTTTTTGGGGGCACATACTCCAGGTATGTCTACCCCGAAGGAGACTCTGGGAGTTGATTCCGTGTCATTCGGTGAGGCCAGCTGCCCGCTAGCTCCCCACGCTGGTATTAGAAACTGATCCCGCCTCTCCCCAGCCTCCTTTGTCTAAATCCCAGTGGCAGGTTGCTTACGCCCCGGCTGTGTCCCCTCCCCTCGGCCTCCCTGTTTGCATCTGCTGGTCCTTTTGCTATAACTCTGCAAACTCGTTTTTTCTCCCGCCTCTGCTGATTCAGTTTCTCAGCTCTCCTGTCGCTCAGTTCCTGTGTCCCCTCCCCCGTCTTGTTATTACCAAGCGGGAATCAGCAGAGCGAAAGCCCAGGGTGAAGGGATGCGCTCTGGCAGGCGAGGGACCCACAGCCCTGGCAAGGCACGCCCAGCGTGATCCGCGGGAGGTAACATCGCCTCCCTGCTCCAATAAGCGGCTCTGTGAACCGGGACTCTAGTGACAAAATCCAAAGTAAAAGTAAAGCTCCTCCACCCCAGCTCCATTGTCAGGCTTTCTGGCTCCACCCCACTCTTCCAAAACAAGAGCTTTGCAGAGGGTTGTGGTTCCAGCCCTAGGGGACCTGCAATCGCAGACGCACCTGGGCCCAGGGCTTGGAGGTGACCCCCTTCCCTCCACTTTCAGGCTGGGGTGTCCGTGCAGTCAAGTGAGCACATTCCCTGATTTGGAGACCTCCAAGCTCCAAAAGAACTTGAATCCTGACCACAGATGGTGTTTGGCTAAGGGAATCAGGGAATCCGGAGGGATTCCGAGCTTAACCACCCAGAGAACACCTAATACTCTGGGAAGCCTTGTACACCTGCGCAGTTAAACTTCCTGACCCCCTAGGAAATGGATGTTCTTCTCCCCCCGGCAAATACCGGAGTGTTTTTGCTAAGGGGGATCAACCTCTTTTACTGAAAAGGTTCTCATCTTCAACCTCGCAGTTTTCCATCAGCTGTTCTTTAATAGCTTATTACATTTGATTTTATACCTTTTTCTTTTTCCTTTCTTTTTTAAACTGCCAGAAGGAGTGTGAACTCACCAAAGAGGGGTAGAGAGAGCACCCCACAGCGGGACATGGTCTTGCCTACCCACCCTTCTCTCCCCATCCCGTCAGGGTCTGGGACACAGAAAATACAAGTAGCAGGGGACTGCTGGAAATCCCACCAGAGTGGCAGTCAACGTGGACCAAGGGCTGGCATTCCAACAGGAGTTAGCCACGTGGGGTCTGGTCCCCTCACCTCTGCCTTACCAGCCTAGCCCCAAGTCCTTTTTTTTTGTTTGTTATAGGGTGCATGTGCTCGCCAGACAGACAGAGAGAGACAGACAGAAAGTAAGAAATCACCCCCTCAGGGGGGATGGCCACACCACAATCTCTTCTCCTCCATTCTCCTCTCGGGATTTTGGGCACGCACGCACATGCGCCCAGCGTGAGTTTTAAGCCACCGGGTCCGGGACTCGAACTGTGGTTGACTACATGGGAGTTCAGTGACATAGCCATTACGCTAACTGCTGGTTCCCCCAAGTCCTCTTCTTAACATGACTTACAGGTGGCCAGCAGGTGGCACAGTGGTTAAAGGTGCTATATTCCCACATGTCCAACTGCAGTTCAAGTCCCAGATCTGGCAGCTTACTTTCTCAGTTTCCCTTTCTCTCTCTCTCGTCAAGTTAAAAATAATAACAAACAAATGGAATTAAATAAATAAATCATTTTAGGGGGAAAAAAAGCATAACTTAGAGAGATTTTTGCTCTAGGGCGCATACACTTGCTGGAGAGACAGAGAGGCAGAAAGCAAGAAATCACTCCCCCCGCCCCCAGGGGCAATGGCCACACTGCAGTCCCTTCTCTTCTATTCTCCTCTCAGAATTTTGGACACACATGCACACGCGCTCGGCGTGAGTTTTAAGCTGCTGGGTTCAAGATTCAAACCGCGGTCAACTATCTGGGAGTTCAGCAATGTAACCATTATACCATCTGCTGGTCCCTAAAATGACTTGTAACACATTCATGTAGTACCAGCCTGTGCAATTAAGGCACTAGATCGATCCCACATGGCCAACAGCGCAGTTTAAGTCCTGGACCTGAAAAACACGCTAGGCACGTGTGCATGTGTGCCCCAAATCCCAAGAAATGAAGGAAAGGGATTGTGGCATGGCCATCCTCCAGGAGGGACTGATCTCTCACATGCCCTCTCTCTCTGCCTGTCCCTCTGTCTCTCTCAGGCAAGTGCATATGCTCTATAGCAGATTAAAAATAAATAAATAAATAAATAAATAAAACACTAATTACTGCCTGCATTTCCATTTCCTCTTCACACATTTGTCTGAACTGAATAACAGAGATTCCACCTCCTAGAATTTACTCATCCCACGACCAAAGACCATCCTGTAATGCACTTGCCTTCTTCTTCCCAACACGCCGATTTCTTGGTTTCACCATGGCTAGGGAAACTAGCGCTGGCCCCCAGATTCAAGGTCCCCTGACCTCCAGCTGACAGGCCACTTCCTGACACGCTGTAGCTTTTGTTATTTGCTTTACATAGTATAATGGCAAAAACACGCTGTAGCTTTTGTTATTTGCTTTACATTGTATAATGGCAAAAACACTCGTTTTTCTCTTTCCAGCTCACATGTTATTTTTTTCCCTCCCTTAGTAAATTAACCTCACATTCTGGGCCTGCCCCGTAGCCTAGTGGTTAAGAAAGCCCAGCCCTGGCTGGCAGGTGGCATGGTAGTCAAGAATGCTGGAATTCAATATGGCCGACCATGGTCCGAGTCCCGGACCTGGTGGCTTGCTTTCTTTCTCTCTCTCTCTCTCTTTCTCACTCTGTCTCTCTGTTCAAATTTGAATGAATAAATAAACAAAAATAAAATAATTCTTTAATCAACAACAACAGAAAGCTTGATCCTACTCATTAGTAGCCCGTGATTTGAGTCTCAGCCCCAGTGGCTTGAAAAACATACCAGGCACATGTGTGGGTAGGCCCCACATCCTGACAACGTGGAGAAGTGGAGAAGACGGCAGTGCAGTGTCACCACACCCCACATGGGGGTGCTTTCTCCTCCCCCCTCTCTCCTTCTCTCTGTCAAGTGCATGTACCTTCTGACACTTTTAGTTTGTTTGTTTTAATTCTCTTCAAACCCACCACAAATAAACGCCCTATATAATCCACCTGCAAATGTTTAGGCCAAGAAGAAAAAGGGAAATACAGCCATTACATGGAGAAAGCAGACTGGTCTAATTCTCAGCGTCATCCACGGAGCTGAGAAAGGGAATGACCTAAAATATTACGTGAGTGACAAAATGCAATACCAAGTAAGCAGAGTGGTGCAGTGGAAGCGTGCTGGGCCCATAACCCAGAGGTCGATGGATCGAAACCATCCTCTGCTAAAAACTGTGTTTGTGTTCGGCAAGTGGCATGGTGGTTAAAGGCGCTGGACTCCCACATGGCCGACCATGGTTCAAGTCTCAGACCTGGTGGCTGGCTTTCTCACTTCCTTTCTCTCTCTCTCTGATCAAACTGAAAAATAATAATGATAATAATAATAAATAAAGTTAAAATAAAATAATTCTAAAAAATGCAACTACTTAAAAACAAAATGCAATACCAAGCTTCCGCTTTTCCAAAGAATACTTTAAAGTCCTTGGTTATCGTATATTCTATTTGTAAACCGCAGAAAGCAGTTTCAGTATCTCATCGGGCAAAGCTTTGTGGTTTAGGATGAACGTTAACAGATTTGCAGTTTGATTCAAAATGAGGGCAACAGAGACTGCTTACATTATTATTTCCAACTGGCCAATACGTTACTATATTAACAAATATAGGGACCAGCAGTTAGCGTAATGACTATGTCACTGGACTCCCATGTAGTCAACCGCTGTTCGAGTCCCAGACCTAGTGGCTTAAACTCACACCAGGCGTGTGTGCGTGCGTGCCCAAGATCCCGAGAGGAGAATGGAGGAGAAGGGATTGCGGCGTGACCATCCCCCCTGGGGGGTGATTTCTCGCTTTCTGTCTCTCTGTCTGTCTGGTGAGCGCACGCGCCCTATAGCAAAAAGCTCTCAAACAAACAAAGAAAAACAAAAAAACAAAAAACAAATACAGACACTAGCCAAATTAGGAGTTTCACACTACTTCTGTATCCAATCCAGTACTTCAAATGGCATTACTTGTGTGCTGAAAAATAAAGTTGTTTTTCCTTTCGCCTACTTGGTCTATCATCAGGCCGTTTCTCCTACCCTTAGGTTCTGGTATTAAAAACTCCCCATGGGACCAGCAGATGGCAAAATAGTTACATCACTGGACGCCCACATAGTCGACCATGGTTCCAGTCCTGGACCCCGCAGCTTAAAACTCAAGCCACGCACATATGCATGTGTGCCCAAAATCCCGAGAGGAGAATGGAGAGGGAGGGAATGCGGTTTACCATCCCAGAGGTGGGGCGTGGGGGTGTGATTTCTCACTTTCCCTTTCATGTCTGCCTTTCTCTCCAGCCAGCGCATGCACCCAAGGCGTGTCGACGGAAATAACCAACTCTGCAAAATAATCATCGATGTGGTTTATTTCTAAGCATGAATTTACGAGACCTAGACCAGAGAGGAGGCAAAACATGCCTCTCTCTCTGAGTGCTTAGGTACAGGGGTTCCTTTTATTTGATTTTGAGAGGGAGAGAATTTAGCAAAGAGCTTTCCATCGGTCTGGCCCACAAAGGCGAGATGTGGAAGCAGAGCTTGCAGGTTTGGGGAAGGAATGAGTAACAGAGATAAGTGGGCTTGTGTACAGTTACAAGATACTGTCCCAAGAACAGGATGTGGAAAGAGTCCTGTTATCAATAAGTCAAATGATGGTGTTAATAATTGTGGGTGTGACTCGCCCATTACAGGGATACTAGGCCAGGGACAGGATGTAGGAAGATTTTTGTTATCAAATGGGCCAAAATGGCCCATTAATAATGTTACTGTCGGGAACCAGCAGTTAGCGTAATGGCTATGTCGCTGGACTCCCACGTAGTCGACCGCGGTTCGTGTCCCGGACCTGGTGGCTTAAAACTCACGCCGGGCGCGTGTGCGTGCGTGCCCAAGATCCCGAGAGGAGAATGGAGGAGAAGGGATTGCGGCGTGACCATCCCCCCTGGGGGGTGATTTCTCGCTTTCTGTCTCTATGTCTCTCTCTGTCTGTCTGGCGAGCGCACGCGCCCTACAGTGAAAATCTCTCAAAAAAAAATAATAATAATAATGTTACTGTCTATGGGTGTGACTCACTCCAGGGCCTCTGAAAGGGATTTTGGAAATAGTAAAATGCAATCAGACTTCTGTCCTCAGGCAAAAACCTCTACCAAAAAAAAAATAATAATAATTAAAAATTGCTTACCACGTTAGAGGAAGCCTGCTACCTGTTCCCTTTCCTTCCCGATAGACCACACAGCTGCTTGTCCAGAACAACCATTGTGCACCTTTGCTCTGCTGAGCCTCAACAACTCAGCTGAGGGCAAAGATAATATTTGCAGACCTCACAATCATGCCCTGTCACTCAGTTTTGGAAGCAATTATTCCTGAACTAACCAATTAACCAGGCTAGACGTGTTTACCTTCCCCTGGGATCATCTTAAAGGCTTTCTTTTTGTTCCACCCTTTATTCTGAAGATTTTTTTTTTCTTAATGAAGATACATAGAACCCAGTTCCGAAAACAGAGAGGGTGTTGTTTATTTAAAATGACAAAGGACTTAGAGTTGCAAAACATAAATAAACAAAAATATAACCAAAGGGAGGAAAGATTGCCCTCCTGCACCGCTAAGCTTTCCCATGGGAACGGGCAAAAATAACACTTGCCTGATGTTGGCAAATCCAGAGAAAAACAAGTTGCAGGTGGAGAGTACTGAGGAAGAGTTTGCTGCTTGCCAGGCTAAGCCGACCAGTAAGAGAGGCAGAAAAGATCTCACATGTCATGCAAAAAACTTGAACTTGATCTTTAAAAT